TGGCCAGTAACATGCTTGGATGAAGGGCTTCTAAGTTTGTTCAAATACATGATCTTGCCTTATATTCAAGGTCACAGGGGTCAAATATGTTAAAATCTTTTAAACAACTTGTTCTGAATAACCAAGAGGCCTAGGGTGATGATAGTTGACCAGTAACATGCTGGGATAAAGGGCTACCAAGTTTGTTCAAATAAATGACCTTGACCCACTTTCAAGGTCACAGGGGTCAAATATGTTTAAAACCTTTAAACAACTTTTTCTGAATAACCGATAGGCCTAGGATGATGATATTTGGCCAGTAACATGCTTTGATGAAGGGCTTCCAAGTTCGTTCAAATCAATGACCTTGCCTTATATTCAAGGTCACAGGAGTCAAATATGTTAAAATCTTTTAAACAACTTCTTCTGAATAACCGAGAGGCCTAGGGTGATGATATTTGGCCAGTTACATGCTGGGATGAAGGGCTTCTAAGTTTGTTCAAATACATGATCTTGCCTTATATTCAAGGTCACAGGGGTCAAATATGTTAAAATCTTTTAAACAACTTGTTCTGAATAACCAAGAGGCCTAGGGTGATGATAGTTGGCCAGTAACATGCTGGGATGAAGGGCTACCAAGTTTGTTCAAATAAATGACCTTGACCCACTTTCAAGGTCACAGGGGTCAAATATGTTTAAAACCTTTAAACAACTTTTTCTGAATAACCGAGAGGCCTAGGGTGATGATATTGGGCCAGTAACATGCTGGGATGAAGGGCTACCAAGTTTGTTCAAATAAATGACCTTGACTTTTATCCAAGGTCACAGGGGTCAAATATGTTTAAAACCTTTAAACAAGTTTTTCTGAATAACCGAGAAGCCTAGGGTGATGATATTTGGCCAGTAACATGCTGGGATGAAGGGCTACCAAGTTTGTTCAAATAAATGACCTTGACCTATATTCAAGGTCACAGAGGGCAAATATGTTTTAAACATTTAAACAACTTCTTCTGAATAACCAATAGGCCTAGGGTGATGATATTTGGCTAGAAGCATGCAGGGATGAAGGGCTAGACAGTTTGTTCAAATGAATGACCTTCATCTTTTTTCAAGGTCACAGGGTCAAATATGTTCTTAACCTTTAAATAACTGAATAACCAAGAGGCCTAGGATAATGCCAGTAACATGCTGAGATGAAGGACTACCAAGTTCAAATGAATGACCTTGACATATATATTTTAAGGTCACAGGGGTCAAATATGTTTAAAACCATTGAATGACTTCTTCTTAATAATCAAAAGGCCAAGGGTGATGATATTTGGCCATTAACATGCTGGGATGAAGGACTATCAAGTGAATGACCTTCGCCCATATTCAAGGTCATAGTCGTCAATATATGTTTAAATCTTAAAATGAGTTGTTCTGTATAACCAAAAGGTCCAGGGTAATGATATATTTTTCCAGAAGCATGCTGGGTTGGAAGACTATAAACTCTGTTCAACCTAATATTATAATGTCCTTGTTCGACATTCAAGGTCACAGGTGTCATATGTTTAAATCTTTTAATAGGTTCTTATGAATGAAACACTGATAGTTTGCCTGTAACTGTATTTTAGTCCACTTTTAAGATTACAAGTGTGAGATTAATACCAGGTGAGCGATGCAGGCCCATTGGGCCTCTTGTTTAAACGATATTGTTGAATTGAAGTAGTTTTGTAGAAATGAAATATCTGAAGCGAAGTATCTTTTTATGAATCCCTTTAACATTCAATCTTCTAATTATGACTTTAAGATACTTTGCGACGTCATCTACTGTTGTGACGTCATAGTTCATGTCAATTGGTTCCCGATCGGACAAATGTTTTATTAAGAGAAAAAACGTCCCCAAACTTGTAATGGTTCATTATCATGCTTTTCTAACTCTCTAATTTTCGGTAAACCTCGAGTCAGATAAACACGATAAAAAACCACCACTCGTTGGGGATTCTCTAATTGCAAAACATACTTGATTCATGTAACAAAAGAAAAATACGTTTATACTAAATATTCGACTTATTAATGTGTTTTTTTGTAGATAAACGGTTAGACACACAACGCTGTAATGAGGGTAAGTAATGTTATCTATCTAACGCTAATATCAATGAGTTCGGATATCTTTGTGTGTTCAGTTTAATCAGAAGCGGTTATGTTGATTGTTTGATACCACAGCAGGGAATCATAATTAATATCTGTTTTATTGTGTTTTGTGTACAGTTATTGTACATTTTTAACGGAGAGGTCCGAAGGTAATTTTCCTATATATATATATATATAAATAAATATTCTAAAAAGAAAAAAAACCTCCTAACAACACATCTTTAGCGTTTTCATCTCATCAGTGAGATTCTTCTGACTGTTTATTTGAAGCGGATATTATGACGTCACGTAATAGTTCGATATAGCGAGGATATATCTACATAGAAATACTAACGGGCTGCCTATTGTGTTACATCGGATACTGCAGTTCTTTTTTGTGTTTTTGTTTTGTTTGTTATTATGTTTACGGAAAGCCTTAATTTTGTTTGTAATGGATCGGAGCCAGGACACTTACACCAGACAAAGGAATACACCGATTGACACTAAAACTGGTGTTGATGTTGTTGTTTATATTAACTAAACCCTATCGATGTTCCCTCTTATCCTGTAGTTCCTGTTTGAGAAGTCTAAGCCGGTCCTTGACACAACTCGTGGTGTAGATCGAGGTAAACGGGATCATTTTACTTAGTGTCAAGGACTTGGTATGACTGTGCGTTTTAGTTATAAAGTGATGGTGATTATTTCAGATTATTAGTCGGGAGTTGTCAAAAATTAATAAGTGTTATCGCGAGCACCTTGATAAAACGACAATGGCCGCCGCTGGGCTTTATCCACAGGTTGAACACGATACGTTTATCAAGACAAACCATTAAAAAGGTGTGAAAACAGTGAAATGCGCCGTGTGGACACTTACTCTAAAATGGTACTGCTTTTGAACAAAATGAGATTTTTTTTAACCTTTTTCTTACAGCAAATTTAGAAAAAGAGATATCTTGAATGTTGCAATGGGCAGAGCAGATTGATTAGGTTGCGTATGGCTCTTGTGTTCCCCAGTGAAATGCAAAAAAACACCTCCCCATTCTGCAAGGTGTTCCAACATTAGTCGTCCATATAAGTATGCAGTGAGTAGCAGCTGGTATAGTATGTTTTAATCCCAGGGCCCGCATTCATTAAATTATTCTCATGCCCAGGCATGTTTTTTTTTGCTCAAGTCTAATTTCTTATTTAAGGTATATTTTTTTTTCTTTCAAATCTTTGTTTTTTCAATGATTTAAAAGACACATGGAAGAGACTTAAAGCCGGATGCTGTATTTAATGTTGGGACATTTTGATTGTTTTACATGATTCACGTGAGTTACAAGAAATTTGAGCACATTGAGCATGAGAACAGTTTGTACAAAATATGTGTGTTATGTAACACAGTTTCCTGAATACGGGCCCGGTCCTGCAGTTGTGTTAAAGATGAGGTTAAAGAGATGGCATTGATGAAGTCATCCAGGTTTGGAAAATCCACCATCCAAATAAAATGAAAAAAAATAGCATATTTTGTTATATAACTACCAATTACTCCGGTTAGTGATACGACAGTTGTCACATGTTACATGCGTTTTCTCCGGGTATTTCCGCCAACATTGACACCCACTGCGCGCTACCATCCGGGCCAATAGGAGTGGTTAGAACTTGTTTCGCAGTTGTTATAAAATCGATAAGGTTTAAATAATTGTTTCTGTGTCAGTCTCTCTTCACATTATTAAATATTATGACTTTCATCTCGTCGTCTTAAATTTGTTTCAATAGGAAAGATGCTTCTCTTATTTTCATATAATAGTATACATTTCATGAATCAGCAGTCTTTCCTACACTTTTCCCAATTCACATGATTTCAACGTGCGAAGTGAACACTAATGGTACGGTGGCTTATAGTCAATTCAGTGTTAATATGTAGTTCAAACGTATTAGTGTTTATATACATGCTCAAAAGCAAAATTAATGTCAATGAAATAAAAAAAAAATTAGAAGTAAAGTAACGTATCCCAACAGCCGCGTGTTTGTAAGGGTCAAGCATCTCTAATAACACTTAGTGATTGTGTAAGGCTTGTTATGTCCTCGGTAGCTGTGGCCCGGTTGTTTCTGTTCTCTGATATACATAAGTACCACTTCTGTGTTCTACATAACACTACAATGATACAGTGAAGGGGACACAGTAGCATTGGTTGTTATCATCACGTTTCACTCGTCCTTTTTGTTTTATCAAGTATCTAATATGTTTTTAAATTACATACATTGTTAGTACTAACATATATTGAAGTTTGCATATATTGTTGACCATTCCCTTCAGTTAAAACAGGAACAAATATTTTATGCAAATTATGGGGTGACGTTAATTAATGAAAAGTACAATGTTATGGAGCCATGCTCACCACAAACTACAGCTATGTACTTATGTATTTTATTGGATGGGTAGAGATTTAGAACGGATTTACTGGAGGTGTAGCGGATCCACCGTCCGCAGACACAATGTTATCCGAACAATTTGTCTTTATCTTGTCTTGGTAGACTTTAGCCAAACAGCCGAAACTAGTTTCTATCCATTTTCTTAGAAATCTTAATCGGTTTTTATATACCATTATTTAGTGTTGTAGGTATATTGTTCCAAAGATTTGTGCAGGCAGATACTACTGAGTTTAGGTGTGGTGTTCGCCCTACGGTCCCGGATTTAATACAAGTTCAATGTCACATACATCATACTTTCATCGTTTCCAATCATACCTTGTTTGCCAGTGTTGGACACAAATGACGACAGCTTATAACTAACTGTTTTGCTTTTATTTATTTAATTATTTATTTTGTTAAGTATATATAGAATCGTGTGCACTACCGGATATGAAGGTGAAGGTTGATCACGATTGTACTGGGATTGAATCCCTTCCGGTCTACAGCACCGACGTTGGATCGACCATGCACTTCGTCTGTAGCTATATACAGGCTAACATTAGATCGTCGACAGACTACTGCCCCGTACAAGTGTGTCAGCGAGACGGACTCTGGACAGCCGCCTCCATATCGTGTGGAGGTTAGCGGGTTTTTAAGTCCCTTCACTCGTGAAAATGACCATCCAAAGGTCGACATGTAAATTTAGTTTGACGTTTAGGACACCATGTAGCTGGTACTATAAGTATACAAGTCTAGCCTCGGTTGAGATACCTTTTGGTTTATTATCTTTTAATCGTTAAATATCATCTAACCTATTATCTATTTATTCCTTAGCTTTCATTATTTATAATAAGTTATATTGCCTGAATCTAATAAATTGTTTCTTTTAAATATGTTTTTTCATTGCCTGAATTTTCATAATATGATTGATTTTCATGAGCTATTATATCTAAAGTTTCACATGATTTTGTTATGGATTATTAATCTTTGATGTAGTGTGCTGTTAATAAATAATAATGATAAATCCTAAAACCGTAATTGATTTGCAGTAATTCTTTATTGTCAGAAAATGAATGCTATGAGTCAGGACGATCGGACAAGTATCAAGGTCATAGATCATGTACAAGGTCGGGGAGACAATGTCAGGCATGGAACAGCCAATATCCTCATACACATGACCTTCAAGCTGGGTCTTTTCCAGGCGAAAACATGACAGGTTCTTTCTGTAGAGACCCGGATGGTATGAGAGGCGCCCCCTGGTGTTTTACCCTTGATCCTAAATTAGAATGGGAGGACTGCAGCATAGATCTCTGCGACGGTAAATATGTGTTAACAATACAAACACTCTTGTTTTAGGTCGGATTACAGCTTCACAATCTCTCTTAAAAGGATTGTTGTTTAGAAACAATCCCTAAAAAAATCGAAAGTCATATTTTTTCACGCTTTTCAATTTATGATTTGGAAAAAAATAGCGTTTACATTTTTGTGTTTTGCTGGACATACTGTATGACTGTATCGGTACTGACAATACTGACACCATTAATGTGGATCAGCTGTAGACAATGCCAAGGGGATAGTCGGTAATGTTGAATGTCTGTTGACAATTTAAAGGCATGTTAACAAATAATTATGATAATAGTTGCTATACACGTTCATTTTCAGAAATAGAACTGGTGTCAACGAAATGTAAGTAGATCTACACACAATTAACAATAAAGTGTTTAGTTATGACAGGCTAATTAAATACACGATACACCGACAATGAAGTAGAATCTGTCTAATACGCAATTTCTATGTGGAATATTTACTCTTGTTTTTTGCAAACTCTTTCAACTGTTTAATGTGTTGTTTAACCATGGTATTCTATTTGTGTACAGGTAGTTCGTTCATTGATTTAACGTGTTGTTTAGCCATGGTATTCTATTTGTGTACAGGTAGTTCGTTCAGTGATTTAACGTGTTGTTTAACCATGGTATTTTATTTGTGTACAGGTAGTTCGTTCATTGATTTAACGTGTTGTTTAGCCAAGGGATTCTATTTGTGTACGGGTAGTTCGTTCAGTGATTTAATGTGTTGTTTAACCATGGTATTCTATTCGTCTACAGGTAGTTCGTTCAGTGATTTAATGTGTTGTTCAGCCATGGTATTCTATTTGTGTACAGGTAGTTCGTTCAGTGATTTAACATGTTGTTTAGCCATGGTATTCTATTTGTGTACGGGTAGTTCGTTCAGTGATTTAATGTGTTGTTTAACCATGGTATTCTATTTGTGTACAGGTAGTTCGTTCAGTGATTTAACGTGTTGTTTACCCACGGTACCCTATTTGTCTACAGGTAGTTCGTTCATTGATTTAACGTGTTGTTTAGCCAAGGGATTCTATTTGTGTACGGGTAGTTCGTTCAGTGATTTAATGTGTTGTATAGCCATGGTATTCTATTTGTGTACAGGTAGTTCGTTCAGTGATTTAATGTGTTGTTTAGCCATGGCATTCTATTTGTCTGCAGGTATTCGTTCAGTGATTTAACGTGTTGTTTAGCCATGGCATTCTATTTGTCTACAGGTAGTCCGTTCAGTGATTTAATGTGTTGTTTAGCCATGGCATTCTATTTGTCTGCAGGTATTCGTTCAGTGATTTAACGTGTTGTTTAGCCATGGTATTCTATCTGTCTACAGGTGAACTAGTTCGTTTAGTGATTTAACGTGTTGTTTAACCATGGGATTCTATTTGTCTACAGGTAGTTCGTTTAGTGAACAGGAACTAGTTGTCGGACATCTAGCTCCGTCAGACAAATTCCTTTACCAATATGGTATTCTATTTGTCTACAGGTAGTTCGTTCAGTGATTTAACGTGATGTTTAGCCATGGTATTCTATTTGTCTACAGGTAGTTCGGTCAGTGATTTAATGTGTTGTTTAGCCATGGTATTCTATTTTTCTACAGGTAGTTCGTTCAGTGATTTAACGTGTTGTTTAGCAATGGTATTCTATTTGTCTACAGGTAGTCCGTTCAGTGATTTAATGTGTTGTTTAGCCATGGCATTCTATTTGTCTGCAGGTATTCGTTCAGTGATTTAACGTGTTGTTTAGCCATGGTATTCTATCTGTCTACAGGTGAACTAGTTCGTTTAGTGATTTAACGTGTTGTTTAACCATGGTATTCTATTTGTGCACAGGTAGTTCGTTCATTGATTTAACGTGTTGTTTAGCCAAGGGATTCTATTTGTGTACGGGTAGTTCGTTCAGTGATTTAATGTGTTGTTTAGCCATGGTATTCTATTTGTGTACAGGTAGTTCGTTCAGTGATTTAATGTGTTGTTCAGCCATGGTATTCTATTTGTGTACAGGTAGTTCGTTCAGTGATTTAATGTGTTGTTCAGCCATGGTATTCTATTTGTGTACAGGTAGTTCGTTCAGTGATTTAACGTGTTGTTTAGCAATGGTATTCTATTTGTCTACAGGTAGTCCGTTCAGTGATTTAATGTGTTGTTTAGCCATGGTATTCTATTTTTCTACAGGTAGTTCGTTCAGTGATTTAACGTGTTGTTTAAACATGGTATTCTATTTGTGTACAGTTAGTTCGTTCAGTGATTTAATGTGTTGTTTAACCATGGTATTCTATTTGTCTACAGGTAGTTCGTTCATTGATTTAACGTGTTGTTTAGCCATGGTATTCTATTTTTGTACAGGTAGTTCGTTCAGTGATTTAACGTGTTGTTTAGCCATGGTATTCTATTTGTCTACAGGTGAACTAGTTCGTTTAGTGATTTAACGTGTTGTTTAACCATGGTATTCTATTTGTCTACAGGTAGTTCGTTTAGTGAACAGGAACTAGTTGTCGGACATCTAGCTCCGTCAGACAAATTCCTTTACCAATCAAACACTTGGAACCAATACTATCCGTTCCTTTAAGGTCCTAACAAAAGATCTATATCAACAGGCTATACCCTCCACAGTAATACCCATCTCATACCCTCACACCCATCTCAAATAAGTAACTTCAAAACCGTACCCTCACACCTATCTCCATTTAGCTACTTCCATCCAGTACCCCATGAACAATCTCTAATTAATAACTTCCACTCTGTGTCCAAAGACCAATATCCAAATAGTTACACCAATCCAGAACCCTCAGAACAATATTTAATTAGTAACACCCATCCAGTACCCCCAGAACAATATCCAATTAGAAACACCGATCCAGTACCCCCAGAACAATATCCAATTAGTAACACCAATCATGTACTCCCAGAACAATATCGAATTAGTAACACCAATCCCGTACCCTCACAACAATATCCAATAAGTAACACTAATCCCGTACCCTCGGAACAATATCCAATTAGTAACACCCATCCCGTACCCTCAGAACAATATCCAATTAGTAACACCCATCCCGTACCCTCAGAACAATATCCAATTAGCAACACCCATCCAGTACCCCCAGAACAATATCCAATTAGCGACTACCAAACCGTACCCTCAGAACAATACCCAATTAGTAACACCCATCCCGTACCCTCAGAACAATATCCAATTAGTAACACCCATCCCGTACCCTCAGAACAATATCCAATTAGTAACACCCATCCCGTACCCTCAGAACAAAATCCAATTAGTAACACCCATCCCGTACCCTCAGAACAATATCCAATTAGTAACACACATCCCGTACCCTCAGAACAATATCCAATTAGTAACAGCAATCCTGTACTCTCAGAACAATATCCAATTAGCAACTTCCAAACAATCCTCTCAGAACACGCTCTAAACAGCGGCTACCAGCATGCATCCTCAGAACTAATCCTACAGAACAGCTTCCAATTACCCAGTTCACAAACTGTTGTGCACATCAACGACCAACCCAAGTCTATAGAACAAAATATACACAGTAGTGCCCAACCAGTGCCTTCCAAACACACTCTGGACAGCATCATCCGTTCCACAGGCGGTCGCATCCATCACATCCCATACCATTCAAAAGGTTTCTTTAACACACCGTATTCCTCTAGTGGACATACACGCTTGGAGGATAGTTACATACTGGACAGGAACTTGGTGACACAAGTGGACAGAGAAGATGACATCGACACATGGCCGTCAGTACAACACAAGATTACTAAAGGATACGAATCGGCAGCTAAAATAAACTTTGACTTCACAACTAACGAGTCGGCTTCGGTACACCCTCAGCAGTCTGGTAAACTGGGGCCAATTCTTTCCTATTCTAAATTTATAGGACCTACGTCACAATTAGGGATTATTATGAAATCAACCTACAATATTCCTGCCGGAAAATTCAATTCAGTCAGGGATGCGACAGGAGAGGCTCGGATGTACCGCTCCTCTAGCATCCTTGACGAACTGGACTTGTCTCTGTTCAGAACCAAGAACTCAGTGATTCATTATCAAGTTTTAAGTACTCTACGCAGTTCTAGGTTGTTTCTAGGTATTCTGACCGGGACACAAATGGTCGATACGACGGTTCTTAGAGGCTCTAGGCAGTTAGACAAATTATTTATTTATAGGTCTGATGGAAACAGTCAAGCGAGTGTACATGTTTCTAAAGAACTTTCTAAAGACAGCAGCCTTATTGCAACGTTTAATTGGAGTAAGAGCAGTTTTATGGCAATAGCTGGGGTTAGTACTTCTCATTCAGAGATCGGCATGGCTGTTACTGACTCAGTAAATAGGGACACGGCTTCAGCTGATTCAACACAAGGGACAGACAATGTGGAGCAGTATGAAGGCATTAGTAACAGAAACGAACGCTTGACATCTCTGGACTCTAATATGCCGTTGGGACAGGACCGTTTAGCATCAACCCCTGAATCTACTACCAAAGTTCATATGGAGGCTAAGGACGGTGCCACTACAACAAAAGATGACGACAGTACATTGTTTTATTCAATACAGCCATCATATTTACCGATTCCAAGTTCAATACTGACTGCTACTTCGCCACTGCCTACAACAGACGCAGCAGACAAACGTGCCATTTTGTCGTCTATGAAACCAGTGAAAACCACAGCTAACTTAAACAATGCTGACAGGTCGTCTATGTTTAACATGGAGGATGCGACGATACGGGCAAATGTACACATCCTGAATGGTGATCACATCATGGACAAAACCTCTAATAATAGTTCTACTTCATCAGGTTTTTCTTTGAGACCTCCAAACCTTCTACCGGCGATGGATGCCGTTCTGTCAGCAAACAGTCCTGTACAAAATGTATCTGGATACAAGGCTACTGATACAACGTCACAGCGCTCCTCTTCCTCCGTAAATACCACGAAAAACACTTCGTTTGTTGTTGAGTTTTCTGCATCAACTGTTATTGCAAGGGACGAAACAAAAGAAATATTAACGCAACACAAGATTGTCCCTTACAAGTGCTTGGTTGACCTGAATTTCGCAGAAAGGGAACGTGGAAATTTTAAACTTAACGTATGGACATTTCGACAGGCTGCAGCTAGCCTTTCTAAGTTAACTCCCCTGAGTGGCAATCTTCACAGGAATAACGAAAATGAGATATCGTGTGGTCGCCACTGTTCACATGTCTATAAATGTGACATGTTTGCCTTTGATTTTGAGACACAAATGTGTGCTTTGTTTTCGTTAGAAACTGGAGAGATTCACTTGGATTGTACCGAGCATGAACGGTTATCATGCTACGCAAGATGTATCACAGTTGAATGATATATTAAGTATTGGAGGAAGACAAGTGTAGCTTTAGTTTTTATGTCTTTCCTTCGAATTAGTTTGTGACCATTTCAGCATTTACTTATTGAAAATGACTACCATAAGGCAAGAAAACAATTTCATTGATGTTTTGTTAAGATATTGTCAAATAAAATCCATTAAATATGTATTTATCATTGTATGAACTCATAAGGTAATGCTCCTATCAAAGGCAAACACAACCCTTCCTTGTATGTAAGGCATCCATTAGGAAACAAGAATATGAATAGCATTATCGACCAAAACTCCGCCATAAACCCAAGAACTGGCCGAGCGCACACAATGATTATCCTGATCTGTAATACATGCAGTCAGTGCTGAAGTTTTAGGTTGGTAAATCGTAAATTACTATTTATTATTTATTCTAATGAGATTTGTAAATTACAGTGTTAGCTTTTAGCTGATACCAACTTTTTGTTTGAGGTCGTCAAACAGAAAATTAGATAACAAATCTTACAGAAAATTTTAGATTTTTAAATGCAAATATACGTATATACAATTAAACTGGATCCCAGGTTAAGTTGTGTCGAGTTTAACTTTACGTAATCTTGGCTTTAGTTGGATATATATATTACTTAGTAAATTCACATGTTAAGATGTGTCTAGTTTAACTTTATGTGATCTTGGCTTTAGTTGTATATTTATCTTACGTAGTAAGATCAGATGTGAAGTTGTGTCTAGTTTAACTTTATGTGATCTTGGCTTTAGTTGGATATATATATTACTTGTTAGATCACATGTTAAGTTTTGTCTAGTTCAACTTTACCTGATCTAGGCTTTAGTTGTCTATATATATATTACTTGTTAGATCACATGTTAAGATGTGTCTAGTTTAACTTTCCGTGATCTTGGCTTTATTTGTGTATATATATTACTTAGTGAGATCACATGTTAAGTTATGTCGAGTTTAACTTTACGTGATCTTTGCTTTAGTTGTATATTTATCTTACGTAGTAAGATCAGATGTGAAGTTGTGTCTAGTTCAACTTTACATGATCTAGGCTTTAGTTCTAAATATATATCACTTAGTAAGATCACATGTGAAGTTGTGTCTAGTTCAAATTTACATTATCTAGGCTTTAGTTGTCTATATATATATTACTTAGTTAGATCACATGTTAAGATGTGTCTAGTTTAACTTTATGTGATCTTGGCTTTAGTTGTCTATATATATATTACTTGTTAGATCACATGTTAAGTTGTGTCTAGTTCAACTTTACATGATCTAGGCTTTAGTTGTAAATATATATCACTTAGTAAGATCACATGTTAAGTTGTGTCTAGTTTAACTTTACGTGATCTTGGCTTTAGTTGTATATATATATATTACTTAGTAAGATCACATGTTAAGATGTGTCTAGTTTAACTTTATGTGATCTTGGCTTTAGTTGTATATATATTTTACTTAGTAAATTCACATGTTAAGTTGTGTCTAGTTTAACTTTATGTGATCTTGGCTTTAGTTGTATATATATATTACTTAGTAAATTCACATGTTAAGTTGTGTCTAGTTTAACTTTACATGATCTTGGCTTTAGTTGTAAATATATATTACTTAGTAAGATCACATGTTAAGTTGTGTCTAGTTTAACTTTACGTAATCTTGGCTTTAGTTGTATATATATATTACTTAGTTAGATCACATGTTAAGTTGTGTCTAGTTTAACTTTACGTGATCTTGGCTTTAGTTGTATATATATATTGCTTAGTTAGATCACATGTTAAGTTGTGTTTAGTATAACTTTACGTGATCTTGGCTTTAGTTGCATATATATATTACTTAGTAAATTCACATGTTAAGATGTGTCTAGTTTAACTTTACGTGATGTTGGCTTTATTTGTGTATATATATTACTTAGTAAATTCCCATGTTAAGATGTGTCTAGTTTAACTTTACGTGATGTTGGCTTTATTTGTGTATATATATTACTTAGTAAATTCACATGTTAAGTTGTGTCTAGTTTAACTTTACGTAATCTTGGCTTTAGTTGTATATATATTTTACTTAGTAAATTCACATGTTAAGATGTGTCTAGTTTAACTTTACGTGATCTTGGCTTTATTTGTGTATATATATTACTTAGTAAATTCACATGTTAAGTTGTGTCTAGTTTAACTTTACGTGATCTTGGCTTTAGTTGTATATATATATTACTTAGTTAGATCACATGTTAAATTGTGTTTAGTATAACTTTACATGATCTTGGCTTTAGTTGTATATATATATTACTTAGTAAATTCCCATGTTAAGATGTGTCTAGTTTAACTTTACGTGATCTTGGCTTTAGTTGTATATATATATTACTTAGTAAGATCACATGTTAAGTTGTGTTTAGTTTAACTTTACGTGATCTTGGCTTTAGTTGTATATATATTTTACTTAGTAAATTCACATGTTAAGATGTGTCTGGTTTAACTTAACATGATCTTGGCTTAAGTGGGGGATATTTATTAAACTAAACTAAACTAATTTATTAATAAGACTTGACAACAACTTTAGTTTGATTAGTTTACTTAACTTATTACTTAGTTAGATCACATGTTAAGTTGTGTCTAGTTTAACTTTACGTAATCTTGGCTTTAGTTGTATATATATATTACTTAGTAAATTCACATGTTAAGATGTGTCTAGTTTAACTTAACATGATCTTGGCTTAAGTTCTATATATTTATTAAACTAAACTAAACTAATTTATTAATAAGACTTGACCACAACTTTAGTTTGATTAGTTTACTTAACTTAGTCCTCATTACGTTTAATCATCATAATTGCCAAACTAATCAGCAGTTTCATTGTCAAATATTTTATTTCGGGATTAGAATTGATCATTTTCAAATTTTGTTTTTATAAAATTCAAATACAATATGTATTAGAAATTATTTACAATACTGTTTCCTAAAACAAGCTACAACTGGGCTACAGTGACACGGTCCGGTTAAAGCTGGACGTTCCAATAAGTACCGAGTTAAGTGGTGATAGTGTAGTGTACATATTAATATTTCCTGTTTATTGTACATCGTGACTGATAGCTTCAACATTTCACCAAATAAATGATATTTCCTGTTTATTGTACTTAGTAACCGTGACTGATAGCTTCAAAGCGTGTTTATACGTTTTAATATCAATGATATATCTACATAAACAACAATGGGTAAGGCTTAATCTGCATAACACCTAGAACATCACATTGTTTACTTACTTTGGGCTGGGATATGTAGCTACGTTCATTTTTAGAAACCTTCCTCTTTCATTTTTGAGTCATTTAAAAAACAGAAAGATAAAAAGTCTGTCTGCGTTGGTATAACAACTTCACTGGTGGAGGAAATGAAAACCCTCTCAGTTCACCTAACAAAACCGTTTGCTGGTGTTTAGCGCAAGGTTGCAAGAGACAATACTAAACCGTTTGCTGGTGTTTAGCGCACAGTTGTAGTAGACAATACTAAACCGTTTGCTGGTGTTTAGCACACAGTTGTAGGAGACAATACTAAACCGTTTGCTGGGGTTTAGCGCACAGTTGTAGGAGACAATACTAAACGGGTTGCTGGCGTTTAGCGCACAGTTGTAGGAGGCAATACTAAACCGTTTGCTGGGGTTTAGCGCACAGTTGTAGGAGACAATACTAAACGGGTTGCTGGTGTTTAGCGCACAGTTGTAGGAGGGAATACTAAACCGTTTGCTGGTGTTTAGCGCACAATTGTAGGAGTCAATACTAACCCGTTTGCTGGTGTTTAGCGCCCAGTTGTAGGAGGCAATACTAAACCGTTTGCTGGGGTTTAGCGCACAGTTGTAGGAGGCAATACTAACTGTTTGCTGGTGTTTAGCGCACAGTTGTAGGACACAATACTAACCGTTTGCTGGTGTTTAGCGCACATTTGTATAGGCAATACTAAACCGTTTGCTAGTGTTTAGCGCACAGTTGTAGGATGCAATACTAACCGTTTGCTGGTGTTTAGCGCACAATTGTAGGAGTCAATACTAAACCGTTTGCTGGTGTTTAGCGCCCAGTTGTAGGAGGCAATACTAAACCGTTTGCTGGGGTTTAGCGCACAGTTGTAGGAGGCAATACTAAACCGTTTGCTGGGGTTTAGCGCACAGTTGTAGGAGGCAATACTAAACCGTTTGCTGGGGTTTAGCGCACAGTTGTAGGAGGCAATACTAAACCGTTTGCTGGGGTTTAGCGCACAGTTGTAGGAGGCAATACTAAACCGTTTGCTGGGGTTTAGCGCACAGTTGTAGGAGACAATACTAAACCGTTTGCTGGTGTTTAGCGCACAATTGTAGGAGTCAATACTAAACCGTTTGCTGGTGTTTAGCGCACAGTTGTAGGAGACAATACTAAACGGGTTGCTGGTGTTTAGCGCACAGTTGTAGGAGGCAATACTAAACCGTTTGCTGGGGTTTAGCGCACAGTTGTAGGAGGCAATACTAACCGTTTGCTGGTGTTTAGCGCACAGTTGTATAGGCAATACTAAACCGTTTGCTAGTGTTTAGCGCACAGTTGTAGGAGGCAATACTAACCGTTTGCTGGTGTTTAGCGCACAGTTGTCGGAGACAATACTAAACCGTTTGCTGATGTTTAGCGCACAGTTGAAGGAGTCAATACTAAACCGTTTGCTGGTGTTTAGCGCACAGTTGTAGGAGACAATACTAAACCGTTTGCTGATGTTTAGCGCACAGTTGAAGGAGTCAATACTAAACCGTTTGCTGGTGTTTAGCGCACACTTGAAGGAGTGAATATTAAACTGTTTGCAGGCGTTAAGAGTACATTTATAGAGAGAGTTTTTCTAACCTACCAAAACTCGAAAAAAACACTTTATATCGTTACATTGTTTCTTGTTTATATATAACAATTGGAAATATGTTATATCAATTCTATTAAGCACTGAAATGCAGTGAGAACCGAACACTAGGTGATATGTAAGCACCTAATATTGTTTAAAAATCACAGGTATATTGATTTCATTTTGGTGGGGTTTACATTAACTTACGCCAATACTTTATAAAATCTATGCTACGTTTCTGCGTAGCCCGAAAGATTGCTTTTCAAATGTATTGGTTTGCTAGTCGTAAAATTCGATCCAATGTTATATTCTTTTCGAAGATTTTTTTCTGCATATCTAAGAATGAAACTGCTTTGAGAAAAACGAATATTCTAATTGGTTTTTTTTTAATTTACAAAAACAGGTTTCCGTTACTCTGAATTCAAACGTTTGGCATTAGGAACTCTTTTTGATCAGTTATATATTGACCTTTATTGTGATATAAAATATCATAATATACCTCTGGTCAATACATATCAGTAACACCCACTCCTAATAACAAAGGGAGAAATCGTAGGAGAACGGGCAACAAGCTGTGAATTTATCGTGATCATGTTCACCCGACCCAACCACCTTATTTTTTAAACTTCTCTACAGTAGTAAAGGAATTCTGTGTAGTTGACGATTCAGAGCGAGAAAAGCTCTCCATCCAAATATGTTTATACAAATAACTTACATCTTTT